CTCCCTTGCCGGTAGCAGAGGAGGCGGCGGCGATGGCGTCAGTGGCTCCCACCGACCGGATCCGGCGGCGGTGGTGGCATCGGCGGCTCCCGCTACCGAATCCGGCGGAGGCGGTGACACCGGTGTTTCCGGCAGGCGGATCCGGCGGAGGCTTTTCCAGCGGATGGATCCGGCGATTCTCTACCCCCTCCTCCTCACCCTCCGTGCCCAAGCTTCTCCCGCGATGGCGGCGGCGGCATCGGCGCTCCCTCGGGCAGATCCGGCGGAGGTGGTGGCAGCGGCATTTCCGGTGGGCGGATTTAGCGGTCCTCTCCCCCCCTCTCCCTCTGTCCGAAGCTTCTCCCTTGGATCCGGTGGCGGCGGCGACGTCAGTGGCACCCGTGGGTGGATCCGACCGAGAGGATCTGCCCGCTGCCACGCCGCTGTCCCCTCGGCTGGATCCGCCGGTGTTGTTGATTGTGTATGTTGTTTGTATTGTTTTTCTTATGTGATAATGATGTCGTTGTTGTGATTGATTTTGGGGTTTTTATGCGATGATGATGTTGCTCCTGTTCACCCCTCCATCTCCTATAATCATCTCTTGATATTTTGGATGATTTTGCGATGATTCTGATTGGATTGAGATTGAGATTTTGTTTTTGGGTCGGATTATGATGATGTGGGATTTGGAGAGGAGGTGCGCGTGATGTTACAGACGGACGAAAGATCGGTGTGACGAAAGGAAAAATACGAATCTTTTAATTAGTTAAGATATTGCATAGTGCCCGTGCGTTGCAACGGGAAAAACTTCCGTTTCATAGTGTGACACCTCGAGAACCTCAAATCAGTAAAAATCAAGTCTAATTTGATATATTACCAAATTGGTAGAACCGAGTCTAATTTGATGAATTAGCATAGGATTTAGGCTTTAGTCTTAGATTTACATTGCAATGCGGTGGTTTGGCAACAACGGTGGCACCCGATCTAGCTGCATGGGAATTTTTGGATATATTTGTGTGTATATGCTTAGTTTTCCCTATCTTTGATTCTATTTGCGTGTATGCTTCAGTTTTCCCTGTCTCCGATTCTCAGGATGGAAAGTAACGACTGGGATTTTTTTTTGGGGAAAAGTCCATTTTACGCCCTTGAACTCTTATGCTTATCTAAAATACACCCCCAAACTACAAAACCGGGTATAATACACCCTTGAACTGTCCGGTATTGATAGCTCGAGGGTGTATTATACCCGGTTTTATAGTTCGGGGGTGTATTTTAGACAAGCATAAAAGTTCGAGGGTGTAAAATGGATTTTCCCTTTTTTTTTGAGGGGGAGGGGGGACGGACGAAAAATTAGCGTATGGACAAGGTGACGATCGGAAAGATACGAATCTTTTAGTTAGTTATTAAGATTAGTTAAGGTTAAGACTAGAAAAAAAAACATGCGTTGCAACATGTGAATACAATTTAAAAGAATTGGACAAAATTGAAGGATTAGCAATGCATATACGTGTATATATAGGCAATATAGCTATTGCTTATCACAGTCTGCTGTAACCTGGATTTTTCACATTTTGGTTCTTTTAAAAAACTTATTTCGCAAATAGACCCCTAAAAAAAATTATGCTAGAAATGGTCCTTTTTTGTGGCGCCAGAGTGGCTGGCGCCGCCGTCCTTCTGCCGACGTGGTGGGGCGATGCTGAGGTGGCAGGGGAAGCGCGCCAGAGTGGCTAGGGGTGAAAATAGAGCGGATTCGGACGGATAGTGGTCATACCATATCTTAAACCATATTTTTAAGCGGATTCGGAGTGGGTGCGGATAGTGTACGGATGCAGATGTCGGAAATGGTGCGGAGTCGGTGCGGAATCGGTTCAGAAACGGATTAAATTTATCAGATGTTACGTGTGTATGCAATCAATACAACATTGAGTTAGCAATGCAAGTAAAAATAATACAATGTCAATAAACGACCCATTGTAATAATTATGTGCTTAAGTGCTAAACAACATAAATACATGATGTCCATTTTATAAAAATACAGCTACGCAAGTGTGACATGAAATGGTGAAAACCACATAGTAAGAAATCTAGGGTAATTGATGAATTAGGTCATTGGATGGACCAACTTGTGTTCATAATTTCGGATTATCCGGTAAAGGGCCTATCGGACAAAAATGTCGGATAATCCGTCGTATTTCGGAGATACCATATCCTCATCCGCATCCATATCCGCCGGATTTCTAAAAACCCATACCATATCCTTATTTCGGATGGATTCGGAGCAGATTGGATCGGATATTATCTGATCGTTTTCACCCCTAAGAGTGGCTGGCGCCCCCCCCCGAATTTTTTTATTTATTATTATTTTTTTGATATTTTTTTCACGCTTAGGAACACACAAGAACCAACCATAGAAAAAATGAACTCAAATGGACGAAATATGTGACCTGTAGAATTTTTCCTCTCCTCTCCTCTCTAGTGCAGAGGAGAGGATGTGCAACTTTTTTATTTTTATTTTATTTTTTTTTCACACTTGGGAACTCACATGAACGAACCATAAAAATAATAAACTCAAACGGACGAAATATGTGGCATGTAGAATTTTTCAAGGCTATCATTTCATGTAGTTATATTTTGAATTAGATTAAGTAATTTCACCTAGTGGTAGAGTGCATTATGTTTAATATGCTGATCAAAGGGTTTTACTAAAGAAGTTATGGTCTAATTTTGGTGAAGGTGCAAAGTAGGTAAGTGGTATGCTATATTTTCAGACTTCTAGCTATGTGATATATTCCGTTCGAGTTTAATTTTTTTTTTGTAGTTGGTTGTATCGTGATTCTAAGTGTGAAAAAACATCCAAAAAAATAAAACAAAAATAAAAAGTTTGCAACTCTATATAGAGAAACAAGAATAGAGGCGGGGGCGGCGCCAGAGAGGTTGGCGCCGTCCCGTTGGACCACGGCGCCAGCCACTCTGACGCCCCAAAAAGGACTATTTCTGGGATAAGTTTTTTCAGGGGTCTATTTGCGAAATAAATTTTTCAAAATGACCAAAATATAAAAATCCAGCTGCTGTAACTACCGATCCATCACCTAATGAACTACGGAACATGTGGGTATGGTCGGTGAATATTTTTTTTAGACAGGATGCCTAGTAAATTAACGGTCGATGAATATAATTGTAATGAAAAATTAACGTCATTCTAACATGTTAGTTTTGAAGTTATGGTGCATAGTTTTTTCGTGCAGTAGCGTGTGTGTACTTGCATTGCATGGACTAATATGGATCATGTCGTAGAAAATATTGTTATGGCAGTCTATTGATTTCTAGGAGGCATGTAGCAACTTAGTCAATAGCGAGGACTCAAGAGTCAAGACTATACAAGGTAAGAGCTGAAATAGACATGGTAAATTGACAATGTGTGGAAGGGTAACAACTGATTTATTAGTGATGTACGAGCACAAAAATCAAGAAAAAACTATTTTTCCAAAATTGAAAGAGAAGATGTGGAGAAAAAAACATTTCTAACAATCATCAAAGGATAAATTTTAACTCAGCTAATGTTCATCACATGATTTGTGAAGAGCGTGGCTGGCTGCATCCACTAATGTGGGCCGTGATCGGTCAATGTAACCCGCTGGCCCTGGTGGGGATGGTGGAAAAAGGGCCTGCCAGACCAGGGAGAAGCAAGACTCTAGCTTCATGTATTGGAACGGGAGAACACACAACGCGTGCGCGGGGTGTACAAAACCGATATTGTAACGGAGTAGAACCGATATTGTAACGGAGTAGAGAACGTATGGAAATTTTTGAAGAAACATCTTCAATTTTTATAATAGTAGATATTAAGACAAGATATACAATGTACTAGATTTATTTCACCCAAGAACAGTGCAGATCCACCGCTCGGCTATCCTGTATGGTCACTCGGGCTTGTTGGCGATTACGACGTTGTATATCTATGTTGTTGAAGGATTGAAGATTAAAGTTTTGCGAACAAATATTACCATCATATTTAAATATATGACATTGTTGAGTTTATTCGACATTCATTGAGAAATTTTGGCAACTATTTTTCTATATTATAATAATAATTCTAACAAAATTATAATATTTTTCTTTTTTACATTTTATAATTTTTTGTGTTTTTTTATTTCTTCTTTAACTAGAAAAAATGCCCGTGCATTGCAACGGGTGAAGTCTATTTTAATCTTATTATTGTTATATGGTTCAGTTAAAATAAAATTCACTGTGGGAGTTCGTTTATCTCTACTATTATAAAAATTAATCATCTGTGCATGAGTCGGTTTTTAAGTTTATTCGTTTTTGGAAATACAGATCCATGTTTGAGTCGGTTTTTAAGTTCGTTTGCTTTTAGAAATATAGAAGAAATCGTATAAGAAATATCTTTAAAAAAACTCGCCCTCCTGCTAACTTGAGACGATTGGATTCCTAATTGCAGCTCATGATTTTTTTAAAAAAAATATATATCCAAACAAGTTCCCACAATAGATTTCTTGTTAACTAAAATATATAACAATAATAAGATTAAGATAGCTTTTAACACACATATATTTTTTCTAGTATATATATATATATATATATATTTAGAAAATCATGAGCTGTAGTTAGGCGTCTGATCGTCTCAAGTTACTATACGAGTGTTTTTAAACAGAATTCTTATATGATTCCTTCTGTATTACCAAAAGTGAACGATCTTATAAACTGAATCAAATACAGATATGTATTTCCAAAAGCAAACGAACTTAAAAACGGATTCATACACGGATGACGTACCAAAATACCGGCAAAAAACATCTTCAATTTTTATAATAGTAGAGATTTGTAACAACATGTTTAATTATGAAATTAAATAGTTATAATTATATTTATATTGTACAAGGTACCACGCTTGCCGCGAGGCAATTAGCAATCCAAGAGACCATCTTTTAAACAGCCCCAAATTCAGCTGCACAAGCGATGTGGTATAAATGATTCAACGCCAAATGTTGGTAAGGTTGATATTGGAAATAAAGTGAACAAACCCCTTTTATTTTACTACTGTCAACGTTTTGAGCTTACTGTTAAACCCATGTCTTCCTTTTTTTTTTCTTTTACTCCAGTCTGATCCAGAAATACTACAATCACAAGTCTGAATCCATGAACACAAGGAGAGACAACATTGGGCAGTAACACACAATAAGTTATGCCACTCGCTACAGTTAGGTGGCAACTATGTACCGTTCTAGCAACTACGGCAACCGATCTGCAATTTTCTGCAGTTGAACTGAAGAACAAACTCAGCTTTGCAGTGACCACTGACCCCCCTGTTGCGAATGTCCTCCAGCTTACTAAAAATAATGGGCCATGCGAGAGGACTGGGGCGCCTGCCTGCTGTTGCTGCTTGCGCCGATGAAGCCTTGCAGAAGGCTCTGTGCGGCTTTCACTTGATCCGGAATGCCCTGGATCTCCACAATGGACTCGGAAGAACCAGGATGGGCTTCGTGCAACTTCACTCTCGCACCAGAGATCTGGGATCAAGGGGAGATTTTCACGAGGAAAACTATTGGTGGCCATTGGGGCATGGTTATGACTGGGGATAGTGCATAATGTTTCTCTTACGCTATACCAGACGGATCTCAGCTAGATTGACACCACCAACACCAATGACAGACTCCAGTTAACTATTTGGAATCCACAATTCGAAGAGCCACCTGGATACCTGCAAAGAGATCATCACTCAATGATTATGAGGACAAAATTCATGTTTGTGTCCTGTAAAAATTCAGTCTGCGTAAGCCATACCCAGTGAGACCTGACAGTCTTCGGTAATCCTCACGTCCATGGATCTGCTCAGCAGCCTGAAAAGAATGAAATTCAAATCTATTAAGCACTGAAGAGAACAAAAATATACATTCAGATGCATCAGAGAGGCATCAGGTGAACCAGGAAACAAGGAAATAAAAAATGAGAAAAGATCAACACCCAACTAAGAAAACTGGTAAGCAACAGCAGCAGAGAACAGCTGAATAACTGAATCTAGGGTTTGCAACAACATCGTAACAATTGAATAGTGTTACCAATGATAGATATTAGAGTGGGCACAAGACAGAAGGATATATTTGGATCACCATGACATATTCTAGAATATTTTTGTCCTTTTTTCAGACGTCTGAACCATCATGGAAGAAAATAGACATAATGCAACAGTCAAATATATGGTTTCATGTTTCTAATGGAAACATATCAGGCGAGGGCCATTTGCAAAGAAGAGGCAAGCTAACGCATTGGAAATGTACCTCAGTATAATCATAAGCATTGGAATTTCCAGCTCTGGTGATTCCTAATTGTTGCACATTACTATTCCCGGCTCTCGAGAGGCCTAATTGTAGTGTAACCCTATTAGAGTACCTATCAGTAGGTACTTGGTCAAGATAAGAACGGCAGGACATATAATCGGCACCAGGACTAATAGATGAGGGCAGTTCTCCATTAGGCAAGCGAGTAGTTGCTGCATATCTTTCGTATGAAGCAGATGGTGCAACTTTGCTACTTCCACTAGGGTACTCTCTTTTAGAGAAGTACTCTACAGGATACACGGTGTAAGGATCATGAGCAGGGCCGGTCCTGAGATTCTGAAGGCCCAGCGTGAAACTAAAAACGGAGGCCTTTATTATAAACCTTCAAATAATAATTACCATATAATATAAATATCTTTAAATAGCAATCAATATTCGTATTTAAAAAATCATACGCATTATATTAAAATTTTCTTTGAAGATTTGTAGGCGCAGAATTATTGATGATGTCCTGATAATATCAGAATTATTGAAGTGGCTGTATTACTCTTGAGCATCCTCAACACACCTACTTGTTTTTGTTATCTATTGCATACTTTCTCAACAGCATAATATCAAGGAACAGGCTAATACTTAAGAAAATATTAATACTAGATTCGTAAATTACAAGGCTACAGAAGTACCAAATTAGTTGAAACAAATCTAACCAATGTGAAACCAGCAAATCACTGAAGTTTGTACGGTTATAACCTTAAATTATCAATTGATACCTTGTAATTTTGTTATAAACAGATAATTCCACTATGTAATCTCGATCTAGATCTAGATAGGCAGTATAGCGTACTTACTGATGGCGGCTAGAGCCCAGCAGGCAGCAGTGCCGTGGTTGTTCTTCACTTCCGCGACGACAATCGATCGATTCAGCACCAGCACATATATAGCAGTCAGCAGTTGATGCGACAACAGATGTGCTCGTCCAGCATGCCGATCAACCAAGATAAGGCTGATATGCTGCGCTTGCGTGTGGCATCAGCATGGCAGTCGGCAGATGAGATCGATCGGCTGATCGTTATACTCGCGATCTCGCAGTTGCAGGCCGGCGAAATCACGGAGAAACATCGCCTCACGTTGCGCGCTGGAAGATCGCTACTACTCGTTGCACAGATAGGTGGGGGCCCTGGGAATCGGGGGCCCGGAGCGATCGCCCCATTCGACCCCCCTCAGGACCGGGCCTGATCACGAGGCCCATCATTGTCCAACCCTCAATATGATGTATCATTGACAGGTCTTCTATATGGTGGATCATTGGCAGGTCTTCCATATTGTGGATATTGGTCTTCCATATGGTGGATCAATGGCAGGTCTTCCATATGGTGGATCATTAGCAGGCCCTCCATATGGGGGACTATTAGCAGATCGTCCATATAGCATGAATTCCTTGTTAGGCAAGATATCAACAGGAGGACCATCAACAGGGGCAAAAGGTGTCGGATTATTGGAAGAACTTCCATCTCTGAGTGTCCTAGTTCAAAGCCTCGAAGCAATCTCTGTCAGGGCTCCTCTTTCAATAGCTGGAAGCCCAGCAACCTGAAAGCTTGGAACAAATGTAAAAGCACAATGAAATGTTAACAAGTAAAAACTGCAGTTATAAAAGTAATATATGGATCTCTGGTGTAGGTATGGCCAAATAAATTACCTGCACAAGCTCCTCATCAAAAGACAGGTACTTAGGTTTATCTGCTTTTGAGTAGACTCGGATTTCAGCCCCAGTCCGTCTTCTCATTTCAGTAATTACCTTTCCACCTTCCCCAAGAATACAACCAACTTTGTTTGATGGTACAACAAGCCGTGTTGTCAACTGGTGGTTCTCAGCAAGTGTACTTGCTTTACTATGGAGCAAAATAAGCGCCTCAATTGTTGGAGACACTGGATCATCTGGAATCTGGAAAGAATATGTAGGAGGATATAAAATTGTAAAGACTCGTGATAAAAATGGCAAGGCAATGCCAATTGGAATAATCATCTGCATATTACCTCCTGAGATGAAACAACAATTAACCTTTCTTCAGAAGCATTTTTGCCAACTTCTTTAACCTGACCGCAAGCACCTGTCTGCACCTAAAATATTGGATTGGATGCAGGTTCAAATTGAATGAACAGGTTTTATAAAATTTAGAAGCGCGGAAATGCACCATGCCACACACTAACAACTTTTATTCAGGAAACAGGATTTAGTTCTGTATTTATTCCAGAAAAGAATGTCTTCCATGTAATCAGAAAATAAGCTAATGGAATAAATTTAGTTCTTTGACAAAATCCATTCACACTGGAAGGTGGGTCTCCGCCATGATCAAGTGCCACAATATATTGAAAGAAATTAAGGGAGGTAGCAGCGAAGAATCAAGAGAGTGCTTAAGGTGAAAAAAAAAAGGAAAGGAGAAGTGATCCGTACCAGAAATTGATCAGTTCGGAGCAGTTGGCCTTGATGCAGCGGAGTCCCCTACGGACGGGAGGCCTTGATCTTGCCCTCCACTGAGTATGCCTTGTAGCTCACCACGCGCCGTCCCCTCCTCTCTGGGTCACTGAAGATCTGGGGGATCACATGCCACCATCACCGTCACCAACCTTGGCCACTACTATATTCTCCTTCAAAGCAACAGATCAAGTGGTCAACAAGGTATTCACTGCAGCTTCATGAAAATTACAAGCAGAGAAGCAGTAGAACCTGAATTTTATCTGTGGATCCTTCCATACCAGAACAGCACCAAAGAAGCATTCTCTTCACTCTCTTAAATGCTCGCACAACAAAACATGGTCAAAGGAGCTTCCACTAGCATTCAAACTTCATAGATACAATCATTTAATCAGAATATTTGCATTAACCCTTCTTTATAAGACTAGCAAAATGCATTTGCGTTGTTACGGAATTAAAAATCATAACAGCACAATGCAGAGAGGAAATCTATTTTGAATCCTAGAGCTTAATTTTAGAATTAATTTGAGTTTTTTGCTTGCCAAGTTTACGCTCCATTTGTTATTAACTCGCAAGGATGATTATGGTTGAGAGCTCCATGGTCTGTCCGTGATTTCCACTGTTCTATCATACAATTGGTTTGGAGAAGGGATTGACAGTGATCCCACATGTCTTGGAGAAGGGATTGACAGTGATCCCACATGTCAGAATTTTGAGAGTTGGTGGTGGGGTGGTGGCAGATTCACCACTCACCACCACCACTACTCCTTTTAAAGTAGTATAGATTTACAGCTATTATCTGTGGGTAGCCAAAAGATTATAGAGACAAAGAAATCATGCTGTCATCCTTTATTCCATGTTTAAGAATGAGACAGATCATGATACTGAATGTCCCAGGATTAAGCTCAAAACCCATCGAGCACAGGTTGTGAAACATCTTTGGAACGCTTCTTGAGCACAACAGTATTGTTCTAGAATAATAATGTACTCCCCAAAATATAACAACTTCTCTACCAACATTCTCTTCCCAACCAATCACAACCCTCCACCATTCACTTTTCCCACCTACCTCCACTACTCATGCAATCACAACCCTCCACTACTCACTTCTACCTACTTTCTTAATAATCGTGTCCAACTCTAAAACTTCTTATATTCTAGGATAGAGGGAGTATGTGGTGTTATCCATCTCACTCCTTGCTGCCTCACACAGGTAAATAGAAACATCATTCCATCAGATATTTCATGATTAGTACATGTGCATAATAATACGTTGAGATAAGATAATCAGATCGGAAACCATTCTATACAATCCAATCTTGTTCCATAAAAAATATATTGTGATGATCAGTACTGCATTTGGTAAAGAACAAAGCTTCAGACATATCTTTTGTTCAGTTAAAAAACAAGTCAAACTATTCAACACCTAAACAGTACACATAGATGAAATTTAATGAAACCCTATAAATTGTTTTGGATCTAATGTCAAAATTACTGCCTAGACACATTAAGTTTGAAACTCCAGTCACAAATCCCTTTATGATCCGTTAGTAGAGATAACGACAAACTTTTATGTTTTTTCTGGCATCAACAGCATAACATAATTGCTTGTTTACAGTCTAGGAACCACAGTAAAAATAATTCGGAGAGGTGGCATACATACCTCGCTATTTACACATACAGAGAAGATCCCTCCTCTAATAGGACTGTAGGAGAAAAGAATTCCAACACAGAATTTCAAAGCTGCAAAATGCTTCAGCAGCTCAAAGATTCTATAAAGGACTTGTATTTTTCAGGGAGAAACCTATAATATTCTTGATATTTTCCCCCAGACAAAAGATCTATAAACAAGGAAGCAGTGGATGCTTCGAGGGAAAAGTGCTTCTCATCAATCATGGAAAGGTAAGTGCCAGCCCTGGTTATCTCACCTCTCTGCAACAGTTCCCTAACAATGAAATTTAGCATGCCAGAGTCAACAGTACAGCCATTGTCCTCCATTGAAAGAAAGAGTTGATCCAATTCTTCTAGCAACCCCTGTCCTATAATATTTTCAGCCATCAACCTGTACGTCCAATAATTCGGCACTAAACCGTTAGACGAGAAAGCAACAAACAAATCCTTGGCTTCATCATTTCTGCCAACTTTAAGCAATGCATCAATCATAATGTTGAAAGTCCTAGCCTCAAGCTTCAAATCCATCAAACATAGGTTCTGAAACATCTGAAGTGCATCATCAGTGAGTTTGTTTTTGCAAAGTCCATGAAGGATTATGTTGTATGTGCTAAGTTCAATCTGCGTTCCACTTTCGGTAATCCTGACATAGAGTTCTTTTGCAGCAGCAGTTCTTCTGGTTTGAAATAAACCTTGCAGAATTATGTTATACGTAATAATATCAGGACTAACACCACTGCTCTCCATCTCCTTAAAAAGAACTAACGCGTCTTCCATCCTACTAATTTTGCAGTAGCCATTAATCAAAGTGCTATAAGTAACAGTATTAGGTTTCAACCCAACTGAGACCATGCCAGAAAGTAACTTCATTGCTTCATCCATCTTACCTGCCAAGCAATATCCATCGATGAGTGTACTGTATGTAATGATATCAGGCTTCACACCAATACGTACCATCAGGTCAAAGAGTTTTTCAGATTCTATAACCCTCCCTTCTTTGCAATGACTGTCAATTATTGAATTAAAGAAAATAGTGTCCAGACAAATGCCTCGATCCAACATTTCAAGAAATAACTATTATATGTCATGCAATCAGGCATGACACCATTCTTAACCATCGTGGTAAGTACCTCCATGGCTTGTCCATAGCTTGACCCTTGCATAACGCAGCAATAATAGAGCTGTAGGTCACAACATCAGGTAAAATCCCCCGGTCCAGCATTTCATGGTATGTACTGTAAGCTTTGTCTGAATCCCCCTCTTTGAAGAAGCCATTGATGACAGTGGTATACGACACCACATCAGGTGGGCTACCTCCTCCTCGATCATCAGCCATCATGTGCAGCAACTCGAGAGCTTCTTGGCTTCTGTTCTCATCACACAGCCCGTTGAGAAGATTATTGTAGGAGAAGACATTTGGTATGCAACCGAGCTCGGTCATTCTGCGGAGCACTATGTCCATTGCGTCGCTCGTCCTCTTGTCGGCACAGAGGCCCTTGAGCAGAGGAGTGAAGGTGATGGCTTCCACTCTAAATCCCTTCTTAATGACATTGCCCAAGGCCGCGAAACCGAGGTCCAAGCGGCCCGCGCGGCAGCAGCAACCGATGAGAATGCCGTAGGTGCACAAGTCGGGAGTTACCTCGTCGGCGCCAGCTCGGGCCATGCGGTTGTAGCGGGACACGGCGGCCGCGGGGCTGTGACGCGCGACGTCGGCGAGGGCGCGGTTCAAGCCGTAGATCGAGGCGCCCCTGCCACGCCGGAGCAATTCGTCGAACACGTGGCGTGCGTCCTCGGCGCCACTGCCCCCCGCGCGGCCTCCTCGCCCTTGGATCGAGCCGTCCGAGCGAAGGGCGCCAACAGCGCGGGAAGCGGCGCGGCGCGCCATGCCCGCCCTAGCTGACAGGTGCAGCAGCAGCGCCGGCGGAAACCAACGCCGCAACGCAGTTTGTCTTATACGGAGAGGTGGGCGGCACCAGTGGAGGATAGAGGGGAGGGGAAGGAGGAGATGGCAGGGATGGTGTAGGAGATCGGCGACGAGCAGGGCGTGGAGAGAATGAGAGATCGGCCGGCGACGTCGGGGCAGGGAGATCGCGATCGATCTCTTCTGCGCGGCGCTCTTGGGGAAAAAAAAGACAGAAAAAAACTAATGCTATAATAATGATTATATTTATTTTAAAGTTCCATGGGAGTTATAAAAGATAGTTCTGAAAATAAACAATGTCCCTTCTCTCCCACCGTAAGCGACAACAGCTGCGCATTTTCCTACTGCGCGCCGTGAAATAATATGATATGGTTGGATTTAATTTTTATTAAATTAATCATGATTAATAATGCTCTTTGAATATTTTTTAAAATTTTCGGAGCTTAATTTCTAATTTTGATAATATAAACACCTTTTCAACATTTATTTAAATAAAATTCCCAATTTCTCTATGGGCCATTTTCAGTCCATTTACTATCTCAGCCCGCAAATAAATTCTACTTTACCTCCTCCAACTCCTCCTCTGACTACGTTTGTTCGACCCTCCGGCCTTCCCTCGGCCCATCAAGCATGCGCGGCCTGAAGATGGAGGCGTTCTGAGCCGTCTGATCTGATGGACAGCTTGGATCGCCTCCGTGTCGCTGAAGATACGAATGGGGAAAAACCTAACCCTCCCTCACATTTCCTTCTCTCTCCATATCCTATCTCCCAAGCAGCGGCGGCGGCGCCCTCCCATACCACGTGCGATAGCAGCGACATCGTTCCCCGTGAGCGGCGGCGGCGGCGCTCGAGCGGATTCGGCGGCATCGGCAGCTTCCCGCGGGATTGAGATAAGATTTGTGTGCTTTTTATTATTTTTTCTGTTCTTTTTCTCTATTTTTTGGATTGTCTAGTTGGATTTCAATCGGATTTACGGACGAAAATTTAATGTGACGAAAGGAAAATTATGAATATTTTAATTAGTTAAGATAAGATTTAGGCTATCTCTTTTGGTGATGCTCTAAAATAAAAGCATAGTTTAAATTTGCTATAGTCTGCTACATCCTCAGTTTCATATTATATGTCATTTTGATTTTTTTTCGTAATCAAACTTCTTTAAATTTGGCTACATTTATAGAAAAATATAGTAGCATTTTAATAAAAAAACAAACATATTATAAAAATATATTCCATGCTACATTTAATGAAACTAATGTGGTGCTTAAATGTTGCTAATTTTTTTTCTATAAATTTAGTCAAACTCAATAAAATTTGACTAAGAAAAAAGTCAAAACAACTTATAATATGAAACAGAGGGAGTACGAAATAAAAACTACTCCCTCCATCCAAAGAGGTAATAACCTATTACCGAATTAGACATTACATACGACTACAAATCTAGATAGCCTAATCAAATTCGTGAATCCAAATAATATCTAATCTAGTACTAGATTCTTATATTTTGGAAGGAAAGAAGTACTTCATCCGTCCCGTAATATAGCAATATAGTATGGAACGAGATTGTTATATTATGGGGCGGAGAAGTAGTAAAAATGTTATTGCAAGTTTGCAACTGTGCCAAAACCGGTGTGGTGTTGAATGAAACATATGTTAACGTGATAAAATGACATTATTAAACTGTACAAACAGTTTAATAACCGATGTATTGATTATTGGGTAGTTAGTAGTAGTGCATGCTAAATAATGAACGTAAGGGCAAGCTATTGCTCGTTGTGCTCTGTGCTAAGGGGCTCAAATTGTGGTGTAGATGACGGTTCAAGCTAAAGTTTCAGCAGAGGATAATGAGAAGGATATCATCTTAAGATCATAAGATGTAGGATCAATATATACCTACTGCCTAGATACCTTAAGTTTGAAACTCCAGTTACAAACCCCTTTATGATCCGTTAGTAGAGATAACGACAAACTTTTGTGTTTTTTCTGGCATCAACACCAGAAGATAATAGCTTGTTTACAGTCCAGGAACCACAGTCAAAATAATTCGGAGAGGTGACATACATACCTCGCTATTTACACATACAGAGAAGATCCCTCCTCTAATCGGACTGTAGGAGAAAAGAATTCCAACACAGAATTTCAAAGCTGCAAAATGCTTCAGCAGCTCAAAGATTCTATAAAGGACTTGTATTTTTCAGGGAGAAATATATGATATTCTTGATATTTTCCCCCAGACAAAAGATCTATAAACAAGGAAGCAGTGGATGCTTCGAGGGAAAAGTGCTTCTCATCAATCATGGAAAGGTAAGTGCCAGCCCTGGTTATCTCACCTCTCTGCAACAGTTCCCTAACAATGAAATTTAGCATGCCAGAGTCAACAGTACAGCCATTGTCCTCCATTGAAAGAAAGAGTTGATCCAATTCTTCTAGCAACCCCTGTCCTATAATATTTTCAGCCATCAATCTGTACGTCCAATAATTCGGCACTAAACCGTTAGACGAGAAAGCAACAAACAAATCCTTGGCTTCATCATTTCTGCCAACTTTAAGCAATGCATCAATCATAATGTTGAAAGTCCTAGCCTCAAGCTTCAAATCCATCAAACATAGGTTCTGAAACATTCGAAGTGCATCATCAGTGAGTTTGTTTTTGCAAAGTCCATGAAGGATTATGTTGTATGTGCTAAGTTTGTTGGAAATTTGGTCATAATTCGGCATATTTTAATCCAAAATAACAAGATAATAAACATGATATTTACAATAGGATTTGATCCAGTGATAGTGGTGAATGTAATCAACATGAGCATGCTTAACGTTGAATAAGCATCAACAATCACATAATGACACAATGTTGACATTGCGATGAACATTAACAGTAAAACTTCTAATTGAAATAATGTAATAAGGTTATACCCCAAGAATGGTCCTCCGCTGGAGTTTGAGGCAGTATTGCCTCCGTTGGTGTTGACGGGAGTCTCCTTCTCCTTGTCTCCAGTGTTCGACATGTTGGTGAAGATGAAGTAGATGTTGACGAACAGTGAGTAGTCGCGCCTTGCGCTCCCCAAAAACCTGATCGCCCGCCCGTCTGTGCAAACGTCGCAGCAACGCGTGGTTTCGGAGGCCTACTCTCCCAACGCGTGTGCACACACTCGTCGGGATGGGATTACCGTAGCAGCAACAGCTTTTGAAAATGGATGAAAGTGTGTCTTCTTCTTCTCGCGGGAGATCAAATCCATTCTCATTTTATAAGAGGAATGGAAGATGAAGAGTAAGAGTCATGGAATAGGAAGAGGAATGGAGCAACTAATTGTCATCAACTAGCCATGAACCATCCTCCACTACACAACCATCAACCAACAATCAATTAAGAGTAATTGATGTAAGTTACCAATGGAATAGGAAGAGGAATAGAGCAACTAATTGTCATCAACTAGCCATGAACCATCCTCCACTACACAACCATCAACCATCCATCAATTAGGATTAATTGATATAAGTTACCAATTCCTTAATCAAATGGATTAATTCTCAAAACTCTTCATCCCATTGATATCCCATAGAAGAATGAATTCACATGAATTCCTAGCATAATGAGCCTTGGAATTTATTTGATTTAATTGATTTAAATGGATTAATTATCCAATTAAATCTAACAAAGTTCAATCTGCATTCCACTTTCGGTAATCCTGACATAGAGTTCTTTTGCAGCAGCAGTTCTTCTGGTTTGAAATAAACCTTGCAGAATTATGTTATACGTAATAATATCAGGACTAACACCACTGCTCTCCATCTCCTTAAAAAGAACTAACGCGTCTTCCATCCTACTAATTTTGCAGTAGCCATTAATCAAAGTGCTATAAGTAACAGTATTAGGTTTCAACCCAACTGAGACCATGCCAGAAAGTAACTTCATTGCTTCATCCATCTTACCTGCCAAGGGTAATGATATCGGGCTTCACACCAATTCGTACCATCAAGTCAAAGAGTTTTCCAGATTCTATAACCCTCCCTTCTTTGCAATGACTGTCAATTATTGAATTAAAGAAAATAGTGCTAAGACAGATGCCTCGATCCAACATTTCAAGAAATAACTCTTCAGCCTTCTCCCATTTGTCAAAGATACAGAGACTATGAATTAGGGAGTTATAAACAATGCTGTCAGGTCTTAGTCCTTCATCGATCATCTGCTCAAAATAAAGCATAGCATCTTCTACTCTACCTGACTTGCAAAGTACATCTATAACTGTTCCATAGGTCACTGCATTCGGATTCAATCCTTGCTGCCTCATTTTGCTGAATACAAGCATTGCCTCTTCTACTTTCTCTTGTTTAGCGTATGCACATACTAGAATGCTGAAAACATAATGATTAGGGTGGATACCGTTTCGTACCATCAAATCCAAGAGACCATGCATCTCAACAAGGGCTCCTTTGGTAGCATACCCCTGAAGCAGGGTACCATAGGTAGTAATATCAGGCTTTAGGCCCCTCTTGGTCATAGAATCAAAAATCTTTCTTGCTTCCGTGCATCTTCCGTTCTTGCAAAGATAATCCATGAGCGAGTTATAAGTAACAACATCTGGTTCGACACCATCACTGCGCATCTTTTTGAGAAATACAATAGCCTCTTTCGGCTGCCCTGAAGAGCAAAACCCATGCACAATACTATTATATGTCATGCAATCAGGCATGACACCACTCTTAACCATGGTGGTAAGTACCTCCATGGCCTTGTCCACAGTTTGAGCCTTGCATAGCGCAGCAATAATAGAGTTGTAGGTCACAACATTTGGCGAAATCCTCTGGTCAAGCATTTTGTCCAGATCCCCCTCCTTGAAGAAGCCATTGATGACGGTGCTGTACGACACCACATCAGGTGGGCAGTCACCTCCATCATCAGCCATTATGTGCAGTAACTCGAGAGCTTCTTGGCTTCTGTTCTCATCACACAGCCCGTTGAGAAGAATATTGTAGGAGAAGACATCTGGTATGCCACGACGGAGCAATTCGTCGAACACGTGGCGTGCGTCCTCCGCGCCACCGCCACTGCCCCCCGCGCGGCCCCCTCGCCCTTGGATCGAGCCCTCCGAGCGAAGGGCGCCAGCAGCGCGGGAAGCGGCGCGGCGCGCCATGCCCGCCCTAGCTGACAGGTGCAGCAGCAGCCAGTGGAGGGGAAGGAGATGGCAGGGATGGTGTAGGAGATCGGCGACGAGCAGGGTGATCGCGATCGATCTCTTGCGCAGTTGTGTGCGGCGCTCTTGGGAAAAAAAACCAGAAATTTCCGTTCAGAATGGCCCACTTTTATTTTTTTTATTGTACTGAAAAATTACCCTTGCGTTGCAATGGAAAAAAAACTAATGTTATGATAATGATTATATTTATTTTATAGTTTCATGGGAGTTATAAGAGATAGTTATAAAAATAAACAATGCCCCTTCTCTCCCACCGTAAGTGATAGCAGCTGCCATTTCCTCATCACGGACCGTGAAATAATATGATATGGTTAGATTTAATTTTTAATTAAATTAACCATGATTAATAAATCTCTTTTAATTTTTTTTTGAAATTTTGGGAGCTTTATTGCTAATTTTCATAATAAAAACATCATTTCAGCATTTATTTAAATAAAAATCTAAATAACAGTTAGTGATGCTCTAAAATGAAAGCACAGTTTAAATTCTATAGTCTGCTACATCCTTCGTTTCATATTATATGTCACTAGCAAATATGCCCGTGAGTTGCAATGGGTGAACTAAAAATTAAAGATTTGCACTGGTTTTAGGAGTTTGAGGGGACAAATTAAGGGAGCTAAAGCGAAATTATTCTGTGCGGAGCGTACACATGGCCTATGGGGTGGCCCAATAGTGCGGCCGGCCTGGGAACAATTCAGAGGCAACTTAAAGGACCTAAAGTGAACTTATTTCACGCGGAGCGTACATGTGGCCCAATAGTGTGGGCAACCTAGGAGTGGCACCCGGCCCAACGCGGGAGAAGCCGTAGTTGTCCGATCTGATGGACGGTCCTGATTGATCCCGATCTATATAAAAACTCAGCAGCCCAAACCCTAACTCTAAAATCATTTTTCCTCCCCCCTATCTCTCTCAAAGCCACCACTCCCCTTCCCTTCCTCACCGGCGTCGCCGCTCCCCCCCGCGCGCGCGCCCTCACCGGCGGCGCCGCTCCATATCCCCCTCTTCCTCCTGTCTCGCCGGCGCGGCCACGGGGAGGCGGCGACGGGGAGGGCACCCTACTGGTTCCCCTCGACCACTCCCTCCCCCTTTCTCCACCGGCGGCGCTCTCCCTCCCGGCGTGGAGGCGGTGATACATTCTAGTATAATGAATTTGGATAGATGTGTCACATTCACCTAAAATCTCTTATGCTATGTAACGAAGGGAGTATTGCAACTTTGCAAGTTTGTAAATGTGCCAAAACCGGTGTGTTGAATGAAACATATGTTAACGTGCTAAAATGATGTTAACAGTTTAATAATCGGTGAATTGATTTTTGCGTAGTTAGTAGTAGTACATGCTAAATAATGAACGTAAGGGCAAGCTATTGCTCGTGCACACTTGCCATGTGCACTGATATTTTGTTTTTGACATTTTGGTTTTTAGTAATACCCCTTCTTTTTTTTAAAAAAGTCTTTGTTCCTTTATAAAGGAAAGGAACATCGTATCAATATCACACGTTATACTGTCATATCCGTATACAATCGCTTGTGCGCATACCATATAAGATCGCTTGACACGCAGTAACTGATATGTTGAGCTGACCATGGAATCTCGTCAAATTCATACCCAGAACGCAGAAACAAATGAAAAGGTAAATCACATGCACGTAACACAAGTGAATCCAATACAAAACATTATTACACTTACCGAATGGTGTACCCGGACACAATCTTAAAGAAACTAAAATTAACAATAAATCCCTTACCTTACTCATTAATATTCATAGTCACTAGGATTTGAACCTAGTAGATAACGTTATGCACCCACAACTCCTTCACAATAATTCCTTTGGTGCTTCCCCAAATTTGATATCCTTAACTTAAGCCAAGTAATCGAGCGTCTAATATCAAATCTTACCAATAAATTTGTGGAGTATATAATTACCAAGTTTCCCCTTTTCTTCTATCTTTTGGTTCATTTTCACTTCGATTTTCAATGAAATATAACTCATTTGTGCACGACAAAATTACTTTGTTCTACTGCTTAATCGGCGTGGCAGCACCAAGTGCACAAATGAAGGCAGAAGCAGTCTTACCATTCAGTGTTCGATCCTAGCCTGCCCTACACCATATCTTCAAACAAGAACACAGGATTGCATTGACAGACTCGAGCACACATTTTTACTTCACAGTTTAATTTAATGAAACGAGCAACTTCTCCTAAATTACGATAAGTTCTTAGGATACGTTATATATTTGTATTGTTAAATATAAAATAGGGGCTAAAATAAACTACATCAGAGTCTATTTTTACAAATCTGACTAACAACGGACAGTCCTGTATTTCTCCTCTCTTCAGTCTGCAAAAATGGACAGCACTCAGCACCTAGTCTGCTACCAGCCATACTAGAGGCTCAGGAACATGAAGTAGATAAATTGTGGACTAGAAGTCTAGAACATATATAAATTATAAAACATGGAAAAAAATTCCCACTCAACGTGGGCAAGCAAATTAGCATGATATGCATGAAAATAAGGTGCTAACATTCAAAGATAGAAATAAACAAAATTCATTATGTGGTTTGGCCATATGTGTATGCAACAAAGTTCTTCATTTTAAAGAAGGTGCTATAACTGTGTGAATAGAACTATGTTCAAGGCAGCCACCAAAGAGAGTTTGGTGTTTTCCCCAAAATCATATATGATTCATAAAATCTTGTTTGTTTACCAAATTCTGTAATTGCATATATGTCTACTTAAGAAAGCAGGGATGAGACTACAGCCATACCAGCTGGCTCCTGCTGTCCATACGCCGCAAAGGAATTACTCCTAAGAGATACATTGCCCATCAAATAATTCGGAACATAAATATACTTGTCTTGCTTATAAACTTGAAACACCTTCCTAGAGTTAGAAGGGTATAGATATCCAAAAAACTCTGATGGTTCGCAACATAGATAGCAGGGCTACTATTCGGTGGCAGGTTCTCCATTCCCTCGACGTCAAGCTTGTAGAACATGGAAATTGTCAGAGTTGCCCAAATCTTTGCAATGTAGTGCTGAGCTCTCGAAAAAAATTTGCAAATATACTTATTTTTTCAATAATTTATGTTTATATACATGCATGGAGAGGTTTTATAAAAATATACGCATCCCGCGAAACGGAAACGCGGGACAGCGACGGTTCCGCAGATTCAAAATACGGGACCGACGATCCTGCGCGGAACCGTCATGGTCCGGCAGCTCCAAAACGCGGAATCGCGACGGTCCCGCGGTTCCAAAACGCGGAACCGCAGTGGCCAGCGACTCCAGCACTGTGCAGCGCAGTTTATACACTGTTTTAACCCTGTGCAGCACTGTTCACACATTGTTCATGGTCGGTGCCGCGCCTCCATTGTGCGGAACTGACCCGGGAACTGTGTAAAACAGTACCAGAAACAGTGTCAAACAGTATTAAACACAGTGCCATGCAGTAAAAAAATGTTGGCGCCGCGGTTCCGCACACTGGCGCTGCGGGAGCGTACCGGTTCCGCGTTACCGGCAAGCGAGACTGGCTCGGTCCCGCAGCCCCATTCCGCGCGAACGCCTCGGCCGTCCACTCCGCGCCGCCACGCCATACTTTTGTTGCGCTCCCGCATAACCGATCTGCGGATTAGTTATATTTTCGCAAATTCTTCATACTAGTGTATATAAACGTAAATCTTTTTCAAAAAATGGGTATTTTCAAATTTTTTTCCTGAACTCTCCTCCGGTATCGGTCAAATAGGAGCACAAGTGGATGAACCACAACCATGGCGACAAACAAAAAGATTGCTGCAACTGCAGCCACCGCGTAGAAGCAAACCCCTCTGACCCTTGAAATCACATCGATGTCTGGTAACCAAATCAACAACAAAAGTAACCACATAAGAAATGCAATTCTGGAATTCGGTATGAATCCCATGAGTTTGTCCATGTACATGATTTTATTTGCATCCGCACATTACATGTAAACTGTATAGACATAGTTTTTTGTTTTGCATCATACATCTTAGTAAGAAATATCCATTGCTGCTCAAATTCCATGAAACACAAATGCACAATAGCTAGTATTAGCTGCTACAAGTTCTTTAGAAAGTCTTAACAACTGCCTGTTCTCCTCAATTTATACTAAACATTCTATTGACACCTTCAAGGTTGGTGTGGAGCTAACTGTTATAACCAACAATATATCATGGTGGTTAACAAGAATGATGCGCTGGCAATGATTATGTTTGATTTCCACACCTTCAGTTTTAAAATTAGAGATGGCAATTTTGTCACTGCAGGTTCAAATGATTTTTCTCCCCTCCACAATTCCACATTTTGTCAAGCAATTGCCAACAACGTTCCAAATGTAAATGTTCCAGCAAACTACATTAATGGCTATGAGGCCTGCCCAGCGAGACGAACATCACAACACATTTTGCGAGAAAAAAAAATAAAAAAGGGAAGAGAGTGGAGGAGGCTGCAAACCTGAGAGCGCCTGCGGCGAATCCCCCATGGTAGCGACACCACCAGCGGCGAAATCCGATCTCACCACAGTCTCCCTCCGCCGCCAGCTCGCCGCCAAAGCCTGCGGACCAGGGCGGAGCAGCGCGGCCGATACACCCTGATGCGGATGGCACTCCACGCCTCGGCCACGGTCGCCCCCCGCCATCACCACTGCAAAAACGCCAAAATCACAAATCAACCGGATGAGAAGATATCAGCTAGCGGCGGCCTCGAGATGCGTGTGATTACCGTGCGCGGTCGACGACGTGGCAGCGGGGGCAGCGACGTGGGCGATTACGTGGTGGCGACGCCGACGCGGCGGTCAAATGCAAAAGGGTCATCACCACCACCACTGTCGGTGATTACATTTTAAGATAGACGGAGTCTTTTTGCCATTTCTCTGGAGTTCCCATCAGAACTGTGCGCTCTTATTGAAATCCATCCAGTTGAGCCTCTAATTGGATTTGCATTGCCACGATCCTTTTTTATATTCAACTTCAAACCACTACCATTGCTGTGCCTCTCGCCTAATGAACCACTTGATGCCCCATTGCTTGATATAAATGGAGAACAATTGAATGCCTTCTGTGACAGACCAGCATCACTACCAGAAGATATAGTAATATGAGAAACTTCTGATTTTGAAGATAAGCAACAATGACGTGTCTGGTTCGACAAAAGTTTTTTTTTTTCGAGTTCTTGCTCTTTCCATCATTAAATGAAGTTCCCCCCATGACATCTGCTGCATAACAAAGCTTCAAGAATGTCACTAATTAAACTTATACGAGGAACCAACAAGATAATCTGGGTCAGGAAACATGAAATATTAAAAATATCAGGTAGCATTTTATAAATATTTGGTGTCAGGCCAAGTTCAACATCTGTAGTGAGACTTGAATGGCGACCAAACTATATTGAGACAGTGCATAGAAAAGCCAACGAGATCAACTGATCAAACAAAATTGGTGTTTGTTATTACCAGAGTAACTCTGTTGAGAGACTTTAGACGATTTCGGATATGTAGAGCTGGAAACAACAGAAGAATTCTGAAGTATTGAAAGAGCTGCAGCAAAACAAAATAGGCGTCAGACTGCAACTTTAACATACTGGATGTTTAAAACATTTTATTGTGTTAGCGAACACATTGTATTATTAAGAAAAATACCTGATAATAACTCAATAGTATTGATAATGACACCAACAAAAGAAAGCAAGGAGCGTTTCGGGTTCAATTTTCTACTCATATTAAGCAAATGGGTCTGCAAGAAGCAAAATGAATGTAAGAGTTCATATTGCTTTTTCAGGAAGAAAAGAAAATTGTTAAGCAGACATACAAAGTCGCACTGTTTGCACATTTTGCACAGAACAAATCAGGAGAGAAGATAGTACAGAAGAAGGAAATGGGTACTAAACTGAAACAGAACATATAAGGAGCATTACCTTGTTATCATCGCTTAGAAATATGGCATTTTCCAATATTTTCAAACATTTCAAGAGGAGAGCAGCACTTTGCAAAGATGTTCCTTCATTTCGGTCCAAAGCTGAAGTGGATGTATCCTTTATGAGATTCTGATACACAAGGTTTGCCACCAGAAGTATATTGTTAATTTATTTATTCAGTTTATCAGCGTAATATGATTGCATTATTAGTTGGGGAATAAAAAGTACACAGATAGGAACACCAAGCATTTAAATTAATGCGCAATTTACTCCAAACTTGCTTACACATGCAAGAACAGCAAGTATAGCTGGAAAAGTAACATCCAAATGAATAATGTTCACTTGGTGTAGATATGTCAAGTGTTATTATCGTTTCAAGTGTTATTATCGTGGGGGATATAATCATCAGAGGAACTGTAAGATACTAACACCACATGCAGAATAAAAAAGTATTAAAAAACTATTTTTGCAACATAAAACAACATAATTTGTGTTGCAGCCAATTTTCCATGTCCTGATGAAAATAGTTACTACCTCAAGCATTTTCCATGCCCCAAAATATAACAACCTTTGGCTATGTATCTGGACAAGCATTACTTTCATGTGGCTTCAAGCACATTAAAGCTAAAATGGCGAAAAGGAACAAGCCTGCACAATCCATTAGAGTTGAACAAAGGAAATGTAAAATATGCGATGTTAGCGAGATCTCACCTCCAATGTTGAATGAAAATCCACCATAACGTCAAAAATACTATCAAGACCTCCCATCTCCCTTAATGTCTCTTTAAAATTTCCTCCAACTCTGGACACTGTGTCAGAAGTCTCTGTAACAATCAAATATTTGATAAGGGAAAACCTTCCTAGTATGACAATGGCCATAGGTGCTTCTAGTGCAGTCCACTACTCCAATTCAATTCTGCAACACAGATGGAAGTCATCAATCAAAAGCAGGTGAAGAAAAGGGCTAAGCAAACCACCCATGAATATTGCAAATAGGTGCTATGTAACTTATGACAAGTTGACAACTGCTTATTTGGCTCATATAAATAAATATAATGGTCATAAAGGGAAATCATGACCAAGAAATTTGATTAAAACTTACCCTCTACTGAAACAGCAGACAAGCATGCATTTTCCATTGTCAACAAAGCAAGCCACTTTGGACACAGTTCTGGCCTTGTTGTTTTCTTGTCATCTTTGTCGAGCGACTTGATCACTTGACAGCTTAAGAGAATCTCTTCAACTTTTGAAAGGATTTCCTCTGAAATGCAGTCAGAATCCTTATTTGATCCATTAAGCATTTGAACTTTACTGATTCCAAGAAGTTTGGAACCTATCGATGGTGCTTTGGAATCAACAAGATTCACTGGAGGATTTAATAATTTAAGAAGAAAATGGACACCAGATTCTGAATCCAACAAATGATTTTCTTGAACCTGAACAACAAGAAGGGAGATATTGGAGAATAAGCACAAGTGAAGTTATACCATTAAAGAGTACGAGCTGCTAGCAATAATAACTGAAATTTACACCATAAATTAAAGTTCAACTTCAAACAAAATGATGAAATAAAAGCATGGATTTTCTCAAATAATCTTCTTTGTAATCACATGCCAAAATATTCATGGAAAACTGGTGAATACTTATATAACTATACTGTAGAAATAAATAACTTTGTCATGATGTGATTATCTTTATGGACTGTTATATAAAAGAAAACAATCGATATGCGTAAAAAATTGGAATGAAGCATGCACAGAAGCATAAGGATGGGATTGAGAGGTACTCACATCACTTCACAAAATGAATAGAAGAGCAGCTGCACCAATAGTGCAGGGAGGATCATCAATGTTCAAAACCAAAATTGAATCAATAATTTGTTGTACCAATCTATAGGATATAAGAAAAGAGGACACTTGTGAGTAAGAAAACAAAAGGTAACGTACAATAATTTCATTAACGGAACATGTGTTTGTTGAATGGAACGATTTCAGTATCTTTTGTTCAGTTAAAAAACAAGTCAAACTATTCAACACCTAAACAGTACACATTAACGAAATTTAATGAAACCCTATAGATTGATACACACAAATGAATCCTACACAATGTTGGATCTAATGCCAAAACTACTGCCTAGACAAATTAAGTTTGAAACTCCAGTTACAAATTCCTTTATGATCCGTTAGTAGAGATAACGACAAACTTTTGTGTTTTTTCTGGCATCAAAGGCAGAACATAATTGCTTGTTTACCGTCTAGGAACCAGAGTAAAAATAATTCGGAGAGGTGACATACATACCTCGCTATTTACACATAAAGAGAAGATCCCTCCTCTAATACAACTGTAGGAGAAAAGAACTCCAACACAGAATTTCAAAGCTGCAAAAGGCTTCAGCAGCTCAAAGATTCTATAAAGGACTTATATTTTTCAGGGAGAAACCTATGATATTCTTGATATTTTCCCCCAGACAAAAGATCTAAAAACAAGGAAGCAGTGGATGCTTCGAGGGAGAAGTGCTTCTCATCAATCATGAACAGGTAAGTGCCAGCCCTGGTTATATCACCCCTCTGTAACAGTTTCCTAACAATGGAATTTAGCATGCGGGAGTTGGCAGTACAGCCATTCTCCTCCATTGAAAGAAATAGATCATCCAATTCTTCTAGCAACCCCTGCTCTATAAGATTTTCTGCCATTAAACTGTAGGTCCTAACATCTGGCACTAAACCGTTAGCCGAGAGAGCTGCAAACAAATCCTTGGCTTCATCATTTCTGCCAACTTTAAGCAATGCACCAATCATAATGTTAAAAGTCCTAGTCTCCAGCTGTAAATCCGTCAAACATAGGTTCTGAAACATTCGAAGTGCCTCGTCAGTGAGATTGTTTTTGCAAAGCCCATGAAGGATTATGTTGTATGTGCTAAGTTCAAGCTGCGTTCCACTTTCGGTAATCCCGACATAGAGTTCTTTTGCAGCAGCAGTTCTTCTGGTTTGAAATAAACCTTGCAGAATTATATTATACGTAATAATATCAGGACTAACACCACTGCTCTCCATCTCCCTAAAAAGAACTAACGCATCTTCCATCCTGCTAATTTTACAGTAGCCATTAATCAAAGTATTATATGTAACACAATCAGGTTTCATTCCAACTGAGACCATGCTGGCAAGTAACTTCGTTGCTTCATCCATCTTACCTGCCAAGCAATATCCATCGATGAGAGTACTGTACGTAATGATATCGGGCTTCACACCAATACGTACCATCAGGTCAAAGAGTTTTTCAGATTCTATAACCCTCCCTTCTTTGCAATGACTGTCAATTATTGAATTAAAGAAAATAGTGTCCAGACAGATGCCTCGATCCAACATTTCAAGAATTAACTCTTTAGCCTTGTCCCATTTGTCAAAGATACAGAGACTATGAATTAGGGAGTTATAAACAATGTTGCCAGGGCTTAGTCTTTCATCGATCATCTGCTCAAAATAACGCATAGCATCTTCTACTCTGCCTGACTTGCAAAGTATGCCTATAACTGTTCCATAGGTCACTGTATCCGGATTCAATCCTTGCTGCCTCATTTTGCTGAACACAAGCATTGCCTGATCTACTTTCCCTTGTTTAGCGTATGCACATATTAGAATGCTGAAAACATAATGATTAGGGTGGATACCGTTTCGTACCATCAAATCCAAGAGACCATGCATCTCAACAAGGGCTCCTTTGGTAGCATACCCCTGAAGCAGGGTACCATAGGTAGTAATTTCAGGCTTTAGGCCCCTCTTGGTCATAGAATCGAACATCTTTCTAGCTTCCGTGCATCTTCCGTTCTTGCAAAGATAATCCATGAGCGAGTTATAAGTAACAACATCTGGTTCGACACCATCACTGTGCATCTTTTTGAGAAATCCAATAGCCTCTTTCGGCTGCCCTGAAGAGCAATACCCATGCACGATACTATTATACGTCCTGCAATTAGGCATGACACCATTCTTAACCATGCTGGTAAGTACCTCCATGGCTTTGTCCATAGCTTGAGCCTTGCATAACGCAGCAATAATAGAGCTGTAGGTAACAACATTTGGTAAAATCCCCCGGTCCAGCATTTCATGGTATGTACCGTAAGCTTTGTCCAGATCCCCCTCCTTGAAGAAGCCATTGATGACAGTGGTATACGACACCACATCAGGTGGGCAGTCACCTCCATCATCAGGCATCATTTGGAGCAGCTCGAGAGCTTCTTGGCTTCTGTTCTCATCACACAGCCCCTTGAGAAGAATATTGTAGGAGAAGACATTTGGTATGCAGCCAAGCTGGGTCATTCTGCGGAGCACTATGTCCATTGCGTCGCTCGTCCTCTTGTCAGCACAGAGGCCCTTGAGCAGAGGAGTGAAGGCGATGGCGTCCACTCTAAATCCCTTCTTAATGACATTGCCCAAGGCCGCGAAACCGAGGTCCAAGCGGCCCGCGCAGCAGCAGGAACCGATGAGAATGCCGTAGGTGCACAAGTTGGGAGTTACCTCGTCGGCGCCGGCTCGGGCCATGCGGTTGTAGCGGGACACGGCGGCCGCGGGGCTGTGACGCGCGACGTCGGCGAGGGCGCAGTTCAAGCCGTAGATCGAGGCGCCCCTGCCACGCCGGAGCAATTCGTCGAACACGTGGCGTGCGTCCTCGGCGCCACTGCCCCCCGTGCGGCCCCCTCGCCCTTGGGTCGAGCCCTCCGAGCGAAGGGCGCCAACAGCGCCGGCGCGGACGCGGGAAGCGGCGCGGCGCGCCATGCCCGCCCGCCCTAGCGGACTGGTGCAGCAGCAGCAGCGCCGGCGGAAACCAACGCGACGCAGCTGATACGGAGAGGTGGGCGGCAGCAGTGGAGGATAGAGGGGAGGGGAAGGGGGAGGTCGGCGCCGTGCTATTTGGCGCTGAAGTATACGATTTTGCGCTCAACAAAAAGATTATTTTTAAATAAGTTTTGGTCACGGTTAATTTATAAAATTAATTTTTGGAAAGTGTCAAATTGTCAAAAATTTGTGTGATAAAAGGGTGGCCGCAGTTTGCAAGCGCGTCTAGGTCTAGACGCTGTTATAAACAACGTCCATCCTGTTTTGATAAATCCTCCAAACAAATTGCTAATAATTTAATTTTAAAAATATTAATTATTATTAATATAAAAATTCGGCGAAACATGTGTCATGTAAATTGGATATATAGATCTTTATTTGAGTCAGATTTTAAATCCGTTTGCTTTTGGAAATACGGAAGGAGTCGTATAAGGTATCTCTTTAAAAATTTTACATGCTAACTTGATCGAGATATCTGTTCTGCGCGCGTGGAAGAGAAAAAAAACATAAATTTTTTGCGGTAGTTTAATAGAGGGATCCACCTTTAGTTTTTTAGTTTTTTATTGAATTTAGGCTCTCTCTTAGATGGAGGAGTATTTCCACTTCCTATTTTCAGTTTAGGAAAAAAAATAAATTTTAGGGATAGATTATTGCTAACATATTAGTGATGCTCTAAAATCAAAGCACGGTTTAAATTTGTTATAGTCTACTACTTCCTCCATTTCATATTATAAGTCGTTTTGATTTTTTTTAGTCTAACTTATTTAAATTTGACTACGTTTATAGAAAAATATAGCAGCATTTTTAACACAGAACAAATATATTATCAAAATATATTCCATGCTAAATTTAATGAAACTAGTGTGGTGCTTAAATGTTGCTAATTTTTTTCTATAAACTTAGTTAAACTCGATAAAATTTGACTAATATAAAAATCAAAGCGATTTATAAGAAAAAAAAAGTCAAAACTACTCCCTCCATCCCGAGAGGTAATAACCTATTACCGAATTATACATTACATACAACTATAAATCTAGACAACCTAATCGAATTCGTGAATCTAGATAATATCTAATCCAATACTATATTCTTATATTTTGGAAGAAAAGAAGTGCTCCCTCCATCTCATAATATAGCAACTTAGTACCAGACGAGACATACCAATTTGTTATATTATGGGATGGAGAAGTAGGAAAGAATTTATTGCAAGTTTGCAACTGTGCCAAAACCGGTGTGTTGAATGAAACATATATTAACGTGATAAAATGGCGTTATTAAACCGGTGTATTGATTCTTGGGTAGTTAGTAGTAGTTCATGCTAAATAATGAACGTAAGGGCAAGCTATTGCTCGTTGTGCTCTGTGCAAATTGGGCTCAAATTGTGGTGAAGATGACGGTTCAAGCTAAAGTTTCAGCAGAGGGTAATGTGAAGGAGATTATCTTAAGATCATAAAATGTAGCATCAATATATACCTGCGAAAGATCTGAGAAAAAAATTAGATGTGTAGGAGTAATGGTAGTTAAGAACCCTTCACTTGACATGTGATGGAAGCAAAACCAGGAAGAAGAAAGGGAATGAAAGAGAGCTTAACACGCTGGTAGGTTTCTTACTTTCTATGGTTAAACAAATTGAGTTACATAACGTGGAGAACTAGAACACTGGAAGAGGTTGGAAAGTCCCCCCCCCCCCCCCCACCGTCGCTCTCGCACGGGCGGCTTGGGGGGCGAAAAAACCCTAGCTGCCCACTCCCCACTTCTTCTCCCCCACCTCGCCGCCGCCGGAGCTCGCCGGCGGCGAAGCCGGCAGCGAGCAAGGAAGGCAGCGGCGAGGCCCTTTTTTCTTGGCGTCTTCCTCCTCGACGCGATGAGGATGGGGCAAACGACGAAGCCCTCACTGCGGTCGGAGGTGGTGACGCCGTGGCGGTGTGGGGAGGCGGCGGATCCGGCGCCCCCAAGGCCGGATCCGGCCATCCCGCGCCTGGATCTGGCGTGGCGGCGGCACGAGGCGGCTAGGGACGGCGGTGGCGGCTCAGCAAGGTGCGCGGTGGCGGCTCGGCAGCGGGCGGGCGAGGTGCGCGGCAATGGCATGGGGCTGCCTCGGGCGCGGAGGCGGAGCGTGGCGGCGTGCGGTCGTGTGCGCCGGTGACGTGCAGCCGGCCCGGGCGGCAGCGGCGGCGGCTCAGTGGCATGCTCGGCCCTTGGAGCTGGCGGTTGTGCTCGCTGGCGCCGGCAACAGCGCGACGGCCGTGGCTCGCTGGTGCCAGCGCGAGCTGTCCCATGGCGCGGCCAGGCCTCGGTAGCCGGGCGGCCGTCGTGGTGCCCTTAGCGGCCAGCTGGGCGGCGCGACGCAGCCAGGAGGGGCGCGGAGACCAGGCAAAGGGGGTGCAGGTGGGTGGCGCCGGAGCCGGAGCGACAGCGTATCCGGCATTGGCGCAGGCCCAGATGGTAGTGCAAAGGGAGCTGGAGTCGATGGGTTGTCTTCCTCGTTGCCGGTCGGCACCCTCGCCCTTCCTAGAGCTCATCCCCTTCTTTTGCGGGGAGTTTCTAGGTTGGATTGAGACAGCAGCTCGCCAGCGGGGGAAGCTCAGGCTGCCGAAGCAATGTCACCCAGTCCCGGGTTCTCCTTTGGCCAAAACTGGCAAGGCGGCCGGCGGGTGGTGGAACGGAGGGGTCCTGGGCCAGCTCTCAGGGATGGTGGTTCGATGGAGTCGGCCGACGAAGGGGCGTCGGTGCGGTGCGGTGGAAGCTACGTGCTACCTTTTGTCTGTGTGGTGGTTCTGAGTGGTGGACGGTGATCTGCGATCAAGGCTATAGGGTCCTAGGCGGAAGCCTAGTCCGGTGGTTCACCGGACCGGCAGCGGCTACGCCTTCGGGCGTCGTAACCTCCTTGGGGCGCTGTCAAGGGTTACCCTCTCCCCTTCTTGATGAGTTTCTCTGGGTGAAAACCACATCTTTTTAGATGGACGATGGCAGCATCCTACATGTCGTGACCACCTTGGTGGCATCGTTTTCGAAGTCTCATCTATGTGTTGCTGCCGTAGGCCTAGCGGCGTTTGGTCACACTTAGTGGCGGTCGTTTGGTGCTAGGCTTCACCCTCAGTGGTTTGTGCTTGGGGGTAGTGTATGGTGTGTGGTCATGCACCTTGGTGCATTGTGGTGTTTTTTCTTGTAACTTTTACTCCTTAATACATTCGGATGGCCTTGTCGATGACATGGGATCAGGAGTATCATGACTAGAGGTTTGAGGCAGACACAATCGCCCACGTGGCCTGGCACCCTCGGGGGACGTCGGGCCCGAGGGTGATGTGTTCGCCCTCCTCTTAGTCCCCCCGAGGGGGTCGGACCGCACCCGCCTCGGCCCCGAGGGCCGAGGCGCCCCGACCCCTCGTGGGTTTTTGCTCCGCGTGTATGGGTTAGGTGAGCACAGCGGGGCTCACCTAACCACATTTATTGCGGTTTGGCTGAGCGTGTCACGCCGCATGTAACGAAGTGCAGTGCACTCGTTTATCCGGTCTGTGACCAGTCACAGACCGGTCAGATCGCGGGTTAGGTGGCGACAGGCGATCTGACGCACGCCTCGCCCCATCCCGTCAGGACGAGGGCTTCTAGGCGCTCGTCCCCAGCTGGAGCTAGCGTGTTACCTCCTAGAGATGGCACGTTAGTCCTGGTTAGATATATGCCAGGCTTCATCCTAACCATTACAGGCAAGATGTTGTGTGAAGAAGGGCCAACATGTAGATTGCTAAACTGACGCGTGGTGGACAGGAATGAGCAATTTGTGACCAGTCTGACACTGGTCATGTCGTCAGCAGACAGCCATAATCCCACGTCGCACCTGCTTTCGGCGGAAGTGGAGGTAGGTATGGGCCGTCCTATCAGAAGGTCATTCGGACGGCAACTATACAAATCTCCGTCCATTTATGAAAAGGTAGGGTAAGTCCCCACAGAAAGGAGGGAGATGGTGCATGTGGTATCCCCTTAAGATATAAAAGGAGGACCTTGCCCACTTAGAGGGGGGGACTGGACTGGACTTTTCCAGATTCGGAACCCAGAACAAGGGAGAGGCTGGCTCATACTTTGTAGCTCCTTCATACACAGATCCCCCCAAAACACAGGAGTAGGGTATTACGCTTCTCAGCGGCCCGAACCTGTATACATCGCCCGTGTCTTATGCTCTTTCGACGGTCGCGAACCTTCCACATACAGAGAGCTTAGAATTTCACCCTGAGTCCCCGGCCGAACCGGCAAAGGGGGGCCTGCGCGGTCTCCCGGTGAGGAGCCCCACGCTCCGTCATCTGGCGCGCCAGGTAGGGGACTCAGTGTGTGTTTTTCTGAGCTCTCGTACTCTTCCGTGTGCGCCAAGCTTTTCCTGTTCAGCCTGATGGCCGAGCAAGCAAAGGCGCACGACCTCTCTCCGAGTGTGAGTGGCGACGACGGGGAGCCGAACCCACGCCGTCGAGCTCGTACTCCACCGCTCCCTCCACGCCAAAGTCCTAAGCGGGGGGAGGCGCTCGAGAGGGTCGAAAGATCCGCGACTTCACCGATCGCGGGCGATGGAGAAGAACGGCGAGATGGGGAGCGTCGCCTCCTCGTCTACGGCGACGGCAGCACGCCCCAGGGCGCGCTCCAAGCTGCGGGCGCGCTCTTACGTCACCCGCCTGTCGTCCCTGACCCGGAGTCTCCAGCCCAACGATGGCTGGACGACGTGGCCAAATTAGTCATGACGGTACGGCAGCGCCTAGATGCTGGTGGGCGGTCCTCCGCCACCAAGGCCTCTGGTGCTGCTACCACCGGCTCCGCGTCGTCAAGACGGAGGGCACGACGAGCGGCAGCCGCTGTTCGCCATTCGGCCGCCACTCCTTCGTCGACTCCTTCGACCCAGAAAGATCTGCGTGGGGGGCCGGACGCCCGCACCAGCATCGAGCGCCGGCGTAATGACCGAAGTGCTGCCCACGCAACGGAGGGCGCTTCCTCGTCCAGAGTGTCACCTCAACACGGACGCGGGAATCAGCCCTCCGTGCCCCCGGTTGGTGGTGTCGGCTGTAGAGCCTTTGTGGCGAGTCTTCGGAATG